CCCCCCCCCCCCCCCCCCCCACGCAAATCAATCTTGATGCTGTCGCCATGAACGTCATAGCTGCACATGCAAGATCGCATACCTTCTGGGCAATCCGGCAATCCCAGTATATGCAGACCTGCTAGAAGACCGCTTTCGGGGGTCTTTTTTCTTTGCCTGTAAGTTGGTCAAAAGTAACCCCCCAGGGTGCCGCTGAAGCGTGGTGCTGAGTCTTGCGCCGGGTTGGGTCGCTGAAACTTCAACAACGCCAACTCCTGGCATGCTCGGACCTATAGAACTATTTAAAACGCACAAATTGCAGGCGCAACTTGAGGTTTATTCGTGGCTCAGGGCTGACCGGGGGCTGACGCATGCACGTGCTCAGGTATAGTCTGGAGCCTTGCTATTTGAAGGCTTCCAGAATTTGAGAGCTTCTTTCTTAGGATGTGCGTGCTCTTGGGTTGAGGTATCACGGCTGCCAGTGTCCTGGCTGAGGTGTATCACCTTTGAGGGCCGACGGGTATTGTGCGAGGGCTCTTTCGTGCTCTGGAAGGCCGGTGTGCAGAGTTGAGGTGTGCCATGCGTTCCTGAACCTATCCAATTTGAGCTCCCCACCCTTCGAGCGGCATTGTCAGATGCAGTGGAAGGGGTTCACGCGAAGCACGATACGTGCTTTCAAGATTCATTGAAAGATGCCGAAGTGCAGGACTGGGATACTTACACCTTCTTCCACTCCCTCCCTACCAAGATCAATAAGTGTAAGCTTGAAACCCAAGGAGGCCGGAGGGTCATCGCCCGAGTCAATTCGAAGTTGTCGATCTCTTCGGGAGTCCTCGAGATGCCGGACTCTCGTCATGCTGTGCCCTAGGTGGAGACGTAGCCCAAAAACAAGGATACTCTAACTATTCACAGGTTACTCCAGCGGAAAAAATCAGATGGTTGGACTCCATTACAGGCCCAGTATGCTAAAGAGCTGCGGATTCGGAGCTCCCAGAAGAAAGCCCAAACCAGTCCAAAGCTACAGAAGTGGGGCTTGATTCGAAATATGTATCCTCTATTATGTAAGGCTTAGTCTACACAATTTGGATACCTTGGGACTTCAGGACAGGCAAGTCCTCCGTGAGGCGGACAAAGTTGTCCAGCGGTGTGTCGTTGCTCAGTTGGGGCTCGAGGGTGCCAGTGCTGGTCATTTCCACCTGGATATCTGAGCGCGCACAACAGAGTTTCAGAAGGATCATGCATGGGTTCTGTAGTTGTACCTGTCAGGAACTGGCCAAGGGCTTGCCATGCAGGTGTTGGGGATTACCGCTTGCTGTCCCATGCACCGTTTCCCAAAAGTGCGTTGGCAAGCTGCATATCATACGGTGGGGCCTTTTGTGGTCTCTCAAATGGCACATGTAATTAATGTAATTCTGTATATGTACTCGCACTAACTAATATTCCTAAGGAACCACATATACACCTGCTCAGAACCTAGAATGCTACATAATGCAACGCTACCTCACATGATCTGGATGGCAGTAAGCTCCCTCACCAGGAGAGACGAAGCATGTCTCTCCAACTCTCAATCCAGAAGTCAGACAGCAGTGAAACTCTGCAACACCTAGCCTCTCGAGCCTTCCAAAACATGAATCACAACCAAAGGGAAACTTCCTAAACCCTAAACCCCTAAACCCTAAACCCCTAAACCCTAAACCCCCAAAAACCCATTTTATTCTGGATCTTAGAGGCTGACGGTGTCTTTCACCAGGTTGACCAACTCCTCAGTCGTCTCCACGCCGAAGTTCTTTAAATTGAAGACACGCTTGTAGTACCTGCAGAGCTTCTGACAGCAGTCTGAACTCTAAACAGACTTCGAAGAAATTCTGGCCTTGCTGTTGCAGCTGTTCTTGCTGCTGTCGCTACTGCTGCCGCTACTGTTGCCGCTGGTGCCACTGTTGCTGCTGCCGCCGCAGCTGCTGCTGCTGAGGCGGGTGCTTCAGCTATTACAAGAATGCCGCTGCTGTTTTCAGTTTTCAGCCCAACGCCACGACCACCAACAAACTCACAGTACTGCTGAGCAACGTTCTGCGCACTTCTGGTAGTAGAAGGCGAAGTGGGTCTCCTTGAAGCTCGGTCGATCCGGATCGTCCTGCAGGCAGGATCTGGACGCAAGCAAGAGAATAAGTCGACCCAATGCAACTCCAACTGCTTCTTATAATCGCTGGGCCCACGGCCAAGTCGTGCCGGAAAGCATGACACAGCAGGTGTAGCCTAGGATCTCATGCTGCCTGTGCTCTTTCAGCAAACCAATGGCTTCTGCTCTTCTGCTTCACGTCAGCCCTACAGCGTCTGAGGCGCAAGCTCGAATCTCAAGCTAAGCAGCATCCAGTCCTGCTTCCAGCCCGCATGTCTTTGCAACCCTTACCATGACAGCGTTCGTTCCGATTTCCGCATGTTTTCTCGAACTTCCGTGATTCTGCAACTGTTGATCACACCTAGTATCCCGCAGGTATGGTTTCATCGTTAGCAAAAATCATTGTAAGCGCGTTTTTTCCCCACAAGCGCGTGCCTTTCAACCTGTTTGATTTTGTTACCCCTGTTTTGTGCACAGGCGCTGGCAGCTTGCCGCGGTGCAACGCAGGTAAACAGCATTGGGCGTCTACAGTGCTTCTAGGGCAATGTATGAGACAAGCATTGTCTTTTTATGTCAGCATTCTTATCTTAACATAGACAGCCTGCGCAAACTATGCGGAATGCCCGTTTTCCCTGCAGAAGTAGACACGCGAGGACGCGCGCGCTATCCAGTTACCTACGGAGACTACGCTGTATCCCCAGCATATACAAACTTCTGCGCAGAATTTCTTGTCAGTCTCATAAAAGCTACGTAAGCTACAAACTATGCAGATTATGCGGACCAGACAACCTACACGCGCCCATGCGAGGATACGCAAGACTATGCCTTGCAGGCCACAGGCTGCGGGAGCACTCTTGCAGCTTCATTGCCATCATTGCTCTTGCATACCCAAAAGAAAACTGCTCAGGTTTAGAATCCGTTGCACATGCCTTTGGTTGAGTTCTGGCTGTGTTTCTGTGCCAGTAAGTTTTCTGACCTTGCGGTTCTGGATCCATGGTGTTTCGGTACTGATTCGCAAAATCTTCCTGGTCACATGTCTCCCAGTCTTACTTTGAGGCGTAGCCTTAGGCTCCAAGCCCTAGACCTTTGCAAGGCCGGCTGAGCGCACGCTAAACTTTACACCCCGAGACCCCCAAAAATCTCAACATGACCCCTATAACCCTACACCCCAAACCCTAACTCTTGTCAGACAGGAATGAAGGAGTGGATCCTGAAATGGTAGTCCCTACATAACCCACCATAAAGCCCTAGTTCCCATTTGATTTGCAGCTTCTTGTTCATTTGATTCTCCGTTATAATCCTTTCCATCAGATTTTCCATTCCCTAACATTATCAGTAGCTCACATCATTGTCACATATGCGGGTGTATATATACAACAAAGTAGTTTCCAGTGTCCTCCCTGTTAGAAAGAGATAAGTTAACCCCGAGCCGCCTCGAAGGCAAACTCCGCAAACAGCGGATCACCGTTTCCGAGGTCTATGACATCCTGGGCAAAAAGCTCCCGGCTCCCAGCTTAGGGTCTTTGTAAAATGATGCTCCTAGGCTCTCTTTAGGGTTTAAGGTCACCATGAACGCTATTGTCCGCAATTTCGTGAAAACTTTCAACTGATCGAGATTTCAGTTCCAACTCGCTTGTTATGGCCATGTTCTATACACACTTCATTGACCTGGAGTCGTGTCGCCCTCAACAAATGATGCCCTTCAAGCAAAGAAGTGGACTGACCCGCTGCACATTACATCAGACTTGGCAGGCCAGTGCCGCGGAATAAACTTTAGCCACCAACAATGGAAAGTCACCCTAATCAACATGGCTTCGCTGCAAACCCTGGCTTGCAAACTCCCCTAACAACGCCTTACCTTCTATTACAGCAGCAAAGCCTGAACGACTTGAAAATCAGTCCATCCCAGCCCCCCTCACCTCCACAGCAAAAGGATCCAGCGAAGCGGCCTTAGGAGGCGCAGGCCTTAATCCCCTCCCCCTAATAATA